TTCTATGTGAAGAAATGATCTATTTTGGGTTTATATGCATCAGTAAAATTTAACAACCAGCTTATGCTGTTAAACATGGTGGTTAGAGCTGGTGTTTCCCAAAGTTTACTATACAGATGGGTAAATAAAGTTTCAAAAGCACACACAAGGAATGCAGAATTCACTGGAAAAACTAGGTATGTAAGAATATTTTAAAAACTAAATTTTAGGCTGGGCATGGTGGCTTATGCCTGTAATCCCAGCAATTTGGGAGGCTGAGGTGGGTGGATCACCTCAGACCAGCCTGAACAACATGGCAAAACTCTGTCTCTACAAAATCTGAAGAAAAACAACAACAACAAAAATTAGCTGGGTGTGGTGGTGCAGGCCTGTAGTCCCAGCTACTCTGGAGGCTAAGGTGGAAGAAGTGCTTGAGCCTGGAGAGGCAGAGGCTGCAGTGAGCTGTGATTGCTCCCCTGCACTCCAGCCTGGGCAACAGAGTGACTCCCTGTCTAAAAAAAACAAAACAAACACCACCCTCCTAAATTTTATAAAGCAAATCTAAAAGCCCAAATGAAAATTGCCTAACAATAGCAAAATGGGGCAGTAGAACTGATACAATGTGGTATATTCATGTAATAATATATACAGTCTTTTGAAAAAATTATTAGTAATATTTTTCTAACTGTACATATATGATCTATTTCACATTAAAAATGAACAAAATTATGATATGAGTAAAAATAACTCAAAAGCATTTCTAACATTAGCATGTATATATTTATGGAAATGTGTTCCTGGATAATGGGACGTTATAAAATCTCACCTGGAGAATTTCAACCATAAAGGTGATACTATATTTATACTTCGATAAATCATTTTCTGTAATCAACTTTATTTAGTATCACTTAAAAAATGAATGGTACTTTCATTCTTATCCCTTTTAGTGCTTCCTAAATATTTTGCTTTTGAAATGATAGGTCTTAGATATACTGGCTTGTTTTTTGTTATAAAATCTGTCATCTGTAGCAAATGTTTTAATACAATTTTGGGCACATATGCACACCTCGGAATATGAGGAAAGAAAACAATCAGAAACTTTGCAGATTGACATTGTCTGTTTTCACAGTTGCTCTGTGGAAAGTTTGCTG